GATAGGATGGACCCAGGCCATGTAGGGCTTTAAAGGTCAAAACCAAAAACAACCAAGAAAGAGAAAGCAGAGAGGCTCATGTCTGCCTGGCATGTTTGTCACCCAAGCAAAACAGGAAGTAAAAGCGGCTCCCCACAGAACCATGGGAAAAACGGAAAAACGACTGAAAGGAGGATTATTGCGTGAATAAACCAAATCTGACTTTCACACTAGAGTAAATGCACAATTACAGTAATATCACAAATGCATTTTCGCTAAAATCCTGAAAGTAAAAAGATCCGGGATAACACCACTTTCTGACCACTTTAATGATGGGTTTTATGCGACGTTGTGTGAAATCGTTGCATGTAATTATACGTTTTTTTCAGGATTTGTACAGGATAAACTATATATTCTCCCTGTGTGATAAAGTCCTTTATTTGTATTCCCATTTCCAGATTTCCCCAGCCAAAAAGTGCCATAGGGCAATGGGTCCCAACCTTTAGTCTTCCATTTGTTTTGGACTTTCCAGAAGCCCCAGCCAACTTGGCCAACAGTCAAGAATTGCAGGAGCTGAAGTCCAAATCATCAGGAGGGCCAAAGAGTAGAGACCATTGCTATAGGGCATGGCTATAACTTGGTGCTACAGGACACATTTTGTTCTGTAACTCAAAGAGAGAACACAGGCTTCGTTTGTTTGCTTGCTTTAAACCATTTTATGCCCTAATACTTTATACCCTGTCCTTCTGTCCTTAAAGAAAGATGCTCAAGGATGTTGATAAAAATATCAAAATATAGCCAATGTGAACAATGTAGAACCCTTTTCACAAAGGGATTGTCCCTATGAAAGGCCTTGGGGAGCTGAAAAGTGTCACTTTGGGGGATTAAAACTCCCCAAATCCTGCAGCCAACTATGATGTTGTCCAAGTTGCAGTCCAAAATGTGAACTTCTCAAAAGCAGTTCTGCCATACAGGGATGTTGGAAACTGTCAGAGAACACTGCAGCCCGTCAAAATAAATCATACTGGGCTAGTTAAAAAAGAATATGTAATTTCTTTTAAACTTTTTTTTTTTTTACAATAATGTTATAGTTATACCTTTTAAATTGTTGTAAACCACCTTGAATCCCATTTGGGAGAAAGGCTGGATATAAATTAAATGAATCAATAAATAATGACAATAACTAGATGTATAAGTAATTTGACTTAATAAGGGGCAACTTCCTCCATTCCTCCTAAGTCAGCCCAAACTTATAAAGGTCTTTGAATTCCAAACTTATGAAGATTACCATTGTTCACTGTTAATAATATAATAATAAATTATTTATTTATAACCTGCCCAATCACAAGGAATCTGGGTGGGTTACAGCAATAAAAGTGCATGGAAATTCAAAATTAGTCCCTTCCCACCCACCCCACCCCCAACCCAATGCTAAAATTACAATAAAGAATAATGATTTAAGAGCAAAATTACAAAAATATTTTTTAAAAAGGAGAGATAATTGGTGGATAGAGCGACGTAGATCACCTTGTGCGGGGAGAGGAGTTAAGTTGGGAAGGCCTGCCGGAAGAGATCCATCTTAAGAGCCTTTTTAAAGTCTGTAAGAGTAGAAATGTGACGGATCTCCTCCGGCAGGTCATTCCACAACTTTGGAGCAGCGGTGGAGAAGGCCCTCTGGCTAACTGAAGTTAGCCTAGATTTTTTCGGCTGTAATAGGTTAATCTCTGAGGACCTTAGTGTGCAGGACAGACAATATGGAAGAAAGTGATCCCTTAAGTATTCTGGTCCCAAGCATTGTAATAATAATAATAATAATAATAATAAAATTTATTTATATCCCGCCCTTTGGTAACCCAATCAGGGTGGCTTACAACAGTAAAACATATATAAATCCGATCCCACAAACCCCTCCCCCCCTTAAAACAGTAGGGCTTTAAAGGTAATAAACAACACCTTGTACTTTGCCCGGAAGCTAATTGGCCTTCTAGTCATTTCTAGTTTATAGAGACTCTAATGTGAAGCTATCATAGGATTTTCTGGAGCTGAAAATGTGTGATTCAGCCAAGATCACCCAGTGGGTTTCCATGACTGAGCAGGAATCGAACCCTGGTCTCCCTTGGCCATAGTCCAGTGCTCAAACCACAACACCATGCTGGCTCTTGCTGTTGTTTGCTAATTCTCCCATAAATTCATGCTTACCCTCTTTCAGAATTTCCCCAGCTCTGCCGGGCTAGTGAACATCTCCCAGAATCTCCTAGGTGGCAACCATACCATCTGGGTCATTCTAGAAGCATTCAAGAAAGTAATATTTCAAGAAGAGTTCAAGGAAGTAATATTTCCAAGTGTAGATGCAAAGCTTACTTTGAGAGGTTCTTCCTCAGCGAATTCATCACTCTCTTCACTGCCCGAGTATGAAGTGGTTTTGACGTTTGAGGGCTGTGTTACCTGGGCTGCTAGTTTGTGAAGGATCACGGAGGCCAGGGCAGAGTCTCGGCCTAGAGACCTCCAGAGTTCACCAATCTCACTATAATAATAATAATAATAATAATAATAATAATAATAATAATAATAATAATAATTTTTATCCCACCCCTTTGCAGCGCAATCGGGGCGGCGTACAGCAAGTTAAAAACATTGCAACAAATTAAAACAAGATCCAATAACCCATTCCCTAACTCACCCACCCCTTAAAAATATATTAAACTAATGCAAAATTAAAATATCAAATGAGTAAAAACCTACAATTCTTTAAAATAGCAGCTCGGCTAAACAATGGCGGTTGGAGGAGCGAATAGCCTGAGTCCTGTCTTTGTCTTCTCTTCTTGGCCGGGACATTATTCAGGGAAGGCCTGCCGGAAAAGATCTGTCTTTACTGCTTTTTTAAGGCAGTCAAGAGTGGAAATGAGACGGATCTCATCCGGCAGGCCATTCCATAATCTGAATTCATGAATGATAGGCATTATGGGCATCATCCACACTAGTGGCAGCTGGTGGAGTATGCTGGAGTCTCCTTCTTTGGAGGTTTTCCAACAGAAGCTAAATGGCCATCTGTTGGGGGTGCTTTGATTCTGTGTTCCTCCATGGCAGAATAAGGTTGGATTGGATGGCTCTTGAGGTCTTTTCCAACTCTATGATTCTATGGTGGGTCCCAAGTCAGCGAGGTGATCGCTCCATTGCAGGTTTCAGTTGACACTTTAAAGCTATCTAAAACCTGGACCAGATTCACCACCTCACTGACATGAGACCCACCAGCCATCACTACCCACCAATAGTCTTTCCATTAACAAGCAGATTAAAATACAGTGAGCCTTAAGGTGAGCTGGAAACTACATGGGTTGATGCCTTAACTCCACCCATTCTATCCTTCTTATTAAGTACTTGCCATGGCACTGAAAGCAGTAGGGTCTAATGGGTCTGGATCCATGTCAGAGGGGCAATGAATCCACCCCAAAGTTTAAGGGAAATCAAAGACATAGCTGTGTTAGTCTGGAAAATCAATATGCAAAGGGGTCTTGCAGCACCTTTGAGACTAGCTGAAAGGCAGAAGCTGGTAGCATGAGTTTTCATAGACTTGAGCCTACTTCCTCAGATGCATTCAAAGGTGTTGAATAGATTTCAGTGCTTTGGATAGCTCATTGAAAGTATGGACTCAAATCCAGAGCTGGTTCTCCACCGATTGACATGGAAGGCTACCAGCTCCCATGGAGAGGAGGAAAGTGTCAAATGGTACCTCAGATTTATTCTTATTTATACCATGCAACCCTTCTGTTGCATGGCACTGTTGCACAACTAAACTAAGAGAGTAAATGCACAACAAATGTGCTAAACACATCCGTCCATGGCATCCAACCATGTGTAAATATGAGCAATACCACTTCATGCACAACTCTGCTTCCACACACTTGTGCTGAATGTAAACATGGCAACATCAGACAAAAATGTCTAACCACATCAAACAAAAATGTCTAAACATCAAGCAAAAAAGTCTAATATAGAGAAATTATGTATGAACAACAGGATTTTGGTTAATATTTTCAAAATGTGGTGTTGGCAGTAGTGGTTCTCTGCTGCCACTTGCTGAGGAACATGGAAAGGAGGGTACTATTGAGAAGAAACTAATGAACCAGATAGGTCTTTAGAGGCTCTTGTGT